TACAGACTCATACGAAAATTCTTAATCAAACTGGACGGAGTGTGAAGCAAAGCAGCTTTGGATATTAGGTTATTTGTAGGTTTAGGACATGTTTTTTAAACTTTTTAAAATGCAAAATCATACACTGGACAGAGTATGAGGGACCTGGATTTTCGAACAGTCGGCGTTGTGGTCACGTTCGGCTTAGTGTCCCTTGCACACGTTTCGGCAATGTGGGCACGATCGGCGTAGTGTCCGTCGGCGAAGTGGGCATGGTCGGCGTTGTGTCCCTTGCACACTTGTCGACGATCTGGGCACGGTCGGCGTAGTGTCCCTAGTCGGCGATATGGACCTTCAAAAAATCGTGTCGGCGTTTTGGGCATTCGGCAAAGTACGGCATACAGCATCCACCAAAGTTAGAGGTGGATGCCATCTCCTTCACAGGCATCGATTTCCCTATTTTCAATTGCTAAACCTGACGCCTTCGGTCTCGGCAACACACCTTACCTGTGGTCGGACGTGTCTTCCGGTACTTTGCGCATTCGACATTCTATTTTGTTGAACACGGGCGGAAAAGTAATATATGTGTAATTAATGTTACGGGCTAATTTCGAGTAGGGTATAAACTAAAAAGCAACAATAGTATAGTAGGAACCGAGGTAGGAACTTTACCTGTAGGTGTACACATTGTTCGCCAACTGACCACCTTTTGTAAAGAACTTTAATCGGTAATGGAAATAGCAAGTCTAACTTATTAGTTATTACCTACATTCGCCCTAAGGATCTTTCTATTATACGAACGCTTATTTAATAATGCAAGCTTGTTTAAGTGACTAATTGGGTGAACGCGATCAATTATGCATCTTGAAAAGGTTTTATTTTTACTTATTAAAGCGAGTTTATGTAAATAGTTAATTAACTTCCACAATCGATAAATAAGTAAAATACCGACATCATTAATAGAAGGTGGTATATTCAATTAAAGAATTATTTAACTCGTGAGTTCGAAAACTCCTCACGTACGTAATTGAAGATATTGAAAATCTTTACAACTTGTTAAGATAGACTGAGAATGCGGAATTTAGTCAATGCGACTCATTAGCGCTCGATTTGTCGCTAGAATCTGAGAAAACGGTTATATAAATTCTGAAATCAAGTGATCACGTCTTATTAGTATGGAAGCCACGAACGACGGCGTAGATTGCTACAAATGCACTGAAATTACTACTCGCGTTAACATAGGTAACTACAAATTGAGTAAATTTGCATATAGGAGACGAATTTTGTTAACAGTCGAAAATAACTTTTTATGCCGGCAATCAAAATTATTATGTACGGGATGAAGTGTCCAATTATCTATTTAATTAAGGCGCATGCAAGGGGCGGTTTTGGATTGCCTCCACATACCGAATCGAAAAGACTTTGCAACCAACGTCTATTCAACGTAAACTTTCGATAATATATAACATAATTTATTTATATCTCTTATTCATTTATTATATCAGTGGAGAAACTGGTAGCTGCATCTACAATAGCGCATTTGCATTTCGTTTAGTAAGCATAGCAGGTAACAATAAAAAGGAGGCGAATTTTCTACTAAAATTTCGGACCAAACACCTTACCTGTACCAGTAAAAAGTCTTTTGTTGGCACCAAAGGGGCAACGCATTTGGTGGATAGTTAAATATGGTGCCTAATGAGCCAATTTCCACTTAGTTAGAGTTAGAAAAAAGAGAAATAAGCAGTTTTTTTGTATCTGGGCCATGGGATGAATAAACAGAATACATTTTAAATCAAGTATTGGCAGATTATACTATGCAATATTAAATCAAGTGACATGAGACACGGCTTATTGTACAACAGCAAACCTGCTGTTAACATGGCATACGGGAGACATGACACATCAGTACGTAAGAATCGGGATTCTATAACCGGTCCGTGCAGAAACCATCTTGACTCTTGAGGTTCAATTTCAATTCCACTTCCACACATCGAGGAAACTGTCTTAGCGAGAAGTCTATAATTAGTCCGTACATAGTACAGCTGGAAGCTGGAAGAAGGGTCAATTTATATTGGGATTGAAAACCGTGACAGAAAGCATCTAGAACTCCTGGTGCACAAAGAATAAAGGTATTTGTGAACAATTGGCCTAATATAAGGCTACTACAGCCGGGGCAACACAAGGATGTCCTATTGGCGCCATAACGTGAGATAAGTACTCGAAAATAGCTGATAGGTATCAACTGACAGAATTTGCGAAAGTTAAATGTGCTGCTGGTGTAAACAGTTTTGTGAGAAATTGAGAAACAGTACTGTTGTGGATAATTGACCCCAATTGAATCTTGCGCAGGCCGTAGGCGAGTGTGCGCACTAACCAGATGGAGATTAGTGACGAATCAACAACGTAGCTGCGAGCAAAGCAATTCACTTTCACGCATCGCGCATGTGTCACAACTGTAGTTGGAGATATTTTTCCACGCGCAGGTCCTATGTACTGCTTCTCTATTTACTATATACAACTCTGCTTCCTCCTACCACACGTCACCCCATTTTCCTGTTTGTTTCAGACTCTATACAGCTGTTTCAATCATTTATGTATCTTCTCCATGTGTCCGATTGCGTAAACGAAAAGCGGACGATCTATATAAGGAATAAGAAGTAAGGCATGAGTAAATGTTTAGAGAAATCCTTCGTGCTGTCTGGTATAGTAAAAAAAAAACGTGAAGAACACGGTAATGACACACAGACAGCACGAAGGATTTCTCTAAACATTTACTCATGCCTTACTTCTTATTCCTTATATAGATCGTCCGCTTTTCGTTTACGCAATCGGTTGCCTCTGTTTGATTTTTTAACGTATTTTTCACATTTCATTAACACATTCTTCAAAAACCTGAGGTTTCCTTTAGACCATAGTCTTCATGATTCATATTCCATACCTATTTCGTATGATTCTGTCGTCTCTTGCATGGCACTCTACACGGCTGTTGCAATCATCTTCACATCTTCCTAGTGACCGTTTTGCGTCTTTCGCTTCGTCGTACCTTTTTAGTCCTTCGTCGAACTTCTTTCACGCGTTCTTCCGTTATTCCTTCTTGTTTCTTTTAGGGAGTAAGGGAGTCTTTACGACTCCAGCTTTATGTCTTGAGAGGTTCCACCCTGTATATACAACTTACGACGATACATACATTTTTGAGAGTTGGCAACCATACAATTTCTAGGTGGGAAAAAGCTGCCTGTGCCACTTAGAAAGCACGAACGGGAGTTACGTTTGGCATCTTGTCTTGAACGGCGGTCGTGAACCCGTCGCTCCATAAATGTTTATTGTTATTTTGTGTTATTTAAAGCAGGTAGTAATTTTTGCATTTCTTTATGTCGTATTTGTGTTTTGTATGCCGCATTTTATATTTGTTGTGTGTTTGAATCTCTGTTTTTGAAATTCACTTGGTTTAACCGCAATGCAGAATCATATGTGTGATACCGTTATGCTATTGTTTGTAATTGTTTACATTTTTGGTGTAATGTTTGCTTAATTTATGTTTATTGATGTTGATTACTTGGTCTTGTCCCTGAAGTTACATTCATATAAGTTTGGTTCATTTTATTTTAATATGTGGAAATTGCTGATTCGTTTGATGTATGTACTGACTTGTTGTTTGTTACTAACAATTTTCTCCGTGAATGAAACAGTCACGGGGGTGGAAAAAACTGTGGTCAAATTTGTGTTACGACACCTAATTCCGTGATTGTCTTCGACATCCAACTGTAGGTTTGAAACCAGGGGCGGACTACCCATCTTGCAGGAGCGAAATTACGCTAATCAAAGCTCTTCAGTTTAGAATCTATATGCGTTAAATGAGTGGCGATTCAATAATTTCCACATATCTTGTTTTTTTTGTCAAATTTGCCTACAAGGCCATGTAATTTTCCATCTTGCTTTTAACAAAAGGACTTTATTGCACCAAAGATGAGTCACATCCTGTGTATTTCACCCTTTCTCAGAATTTTGGTACCTGCTCCTACCTGACCCATTGTCCCCAAAAGCTTGCCTTAACCTTGAGTTAACCAACCTTGTGTATATGCATTTACTATCTATCTTTGTTAATATTTTGTTAATTAACTTTTGGACTGTTTTAATCAAACTGCAAGGTTTTTCTTCGTCGTACTCTTTTTACCCTTGGCAGTGACTTTTGCGAGAGTACGACACCCTTCTGGCTTTGCTTACTTTGTTTATATTAATGTACATCAACTAAATTTCCGGGTTTTCACAATCATAATAATTACGATCTTTATTGAACAAACTTTTCATAATTTCAGTGTTTTATTTAACGTTCCTTCCCTACTGTGCTTCAGGTCAAAGCGTTGTCTACAACTAACGTAAGAGGGCCCTGTCTTGGATGTTTTATCACGTGCCACTTTTCAAATTTAAGCGGGATCTTGTTTAGTTTTAGAGGGAATAGTCATTCGGGTGGCCATTTTTAAACGTTGCCGGGTTGACTTTATTTTCGTGTTCTTGTAGTGTGAAGTTAGCGTAGAATCTGGGAGTTATGTACACTACAGTCTTATTCATATTTCTTTCACACCACCTTTTCGACTCATCCAGATCTTCCTCATGTCTTCGGTACGCTTCCTTTGCCCTCACATCAACGCTTTCTTCACGCCTCTTGCAGCAAGAGTATTCTTCGTGCCCCAGTCATACCTTCGTCGCGCATTCTTTCACATAGGTACTATCTTCATCTTCGGATATTCTTTTAACTTCCTTTACACCTCCTTTGTGTCTCATTCACGCCTCCTTTCCATGTATATTTAAACCTTATATAAATTGTAACCATGCATGTTTCCGTGTTATTTTGGTTGCATATCCTAAATAATATTTTAGTTCATATTTTCAACTTTTTTTACTGGAAGCATTTTTATTTTTTATATGTGTTATGTATAATTGGCCATTAGGTAGTTCAAACTACTATCATTGGAGAAGAATCTCATTCAATGCAGTAAAAATTCTCATTCAATAACACAGAAAAAAAATCGACATCCTTTATTTAACAGATATTTTACAAGCGTAGGTTTTTCATAATTATGGCTCAAAGTTGATAAATAAATCTATCATCTAGAAGGACCTTGAACTTCCTGCAAGCTTTAATTTTAAATATCTTCAAACACCTTAACACATACTCACGCCTAAATTAATTGAGGAAGAGACTTCTTGCATTAAAGCTGCGTCTTCGGCGTTGCGTAACCGATTTCTTATAGCACTCGTTGCGGTCCCAGCAAATCTTTGGGCTTCCGGTGGTAACAAAAATTGGACGACCGGAGAGATGAGTTCCGGATCTAACCGAGCCAGATCTGTCTTTCCAGTTACAAGACTCACAATCGCGCCGACAACGACTGTAGTCAGGATTCCGATGGGAGTAATCCAGTGGTAGGATATGCGAAATAGGGCGAAAATGTGAGATTCGTCTGGGTAATTCTTCAAAGGTTCTTTTAGTGTCTCTATATGTATGGAGTGTCTACTTACGATTACAGTGACGTTTGGAGTAATCCCATAGTCAGCTTCGCACAGGTCGACGTTAACAGGAAGTTTGTGCAAGACGATGTTTCCACTTGCCATGGAGTACTGGCCACCAAACGAAATTGTCCCGGATAAGGCTGCACCTGCGACTGCTCCTGTGATTGCTCCAATTGACGAAGACCAAGGAATCACCATTCCCAGTGTAAATACTCCAAAGGTTGTACCTGCTGCGATGGCAGAGAGCGATGTGGCCATCTAGCTTTCACAGAAACTAAGTCTTGTAAAGAAACTGTTGAGATACATACAACCAGTACTCCCCCCATACGCTCTACGACAAACACGAAGCCCATTGACATTGCACCCAGTACCAAAATGACAATTTTCACTAAATGAGTAGCATTCTTTTCAGTTATACTTATTCTTAGGCACCCCTTTACAAAGTCCTCCAATACCACTGCAGACGTGGCATTTAGAACAACTGACAATGAGCTAAAAGTGAACTGTTCTGATTGGTTCTATGAGACTACTCGCACACCTCAAAGCTGCCCCAAACACTCCAGCTATGAACAGCCCTGGAACTCCACGTAGGTGTCCCACAGTCTCCATTACATACAGTGGTAGTAACTGATCGTCTTGAGTTATTCTTCCAGCTGTCATTGGGTCACATTTATGATAAGTGGCAAAGACTAACAGTCCCGAGTATACACACAATGATACGAATAGTGAAACGCCAACGGTGAACATAAGTACGGACCTAAAAAGTTTGTCATGTGTAGTTTTGCTTATCTAAAGAGTCTACTTTTTGGATTCCTTTTCATTTGGTAGAGACAGGTATCTTTGAACCATTGTCTGATTCACGCCGTTGAATGCCGTCCAAAATATCACACCACCGGTTACGACTCCGTATACAGTGTGCCTTTCGTACATGCTCAAATTGAAACTGCAAGACGTGATGTTAGCAATGTACGAAACGGAAACCTATACCTACTTATTAAATATCAAGCGTCCACCAGCCCCACTTCGATTCCAGACAACGCTAGGTCCACCTATGGCGATTGTTCCCAGAATGACTAGTACAATAACAGAAATGAACATCACTATAATTTGCCACGTATCCGAATATACTACTGCTTTAAGTCCACCCTATAAGTAATTAACATTTATGCGCGCAGTCAATTTCGTTCACTCACAATAACAGTATAAAAGATGCAAATGAAGCACACAACGGATCCAATTAAATGAACGTCTATACCGGTAACTGCAATTAAGGGTAATCAAAAGGGCGATAACGTAGCAAAGTTTTCTAACCTTGATTGAACGCCAGGGATGGCACGTATATAACAATGGGAAGGAACATTATCTGTCAAGAATCACTGATACATTATTATTAAATGATGTATTATATAAGTGGGATTTAGTTTACCTCATCCATTACGAATAGAACGGACGCCAGCATCCGAACTTCTCGGCTGAATCTCATTTCTAAGTACTGGAAAATTAAATCAAACTTCGGCGTAATCAATCTCAGCACTGACCTCGTATGATGAATTGACCTGCAACTTGCAGAACACCGGCAAGTAAACGTAAGCCACGATTGCTCCGCTAAACCATATCGAGAACGCGATGAACCAGTATTGCGTGCCAAAATTGTATATTTCCGCAGGCGTTCCTAAGATCGTCACACCGGATATGTAACTGGAATCAAAGCGTTATTTAGGAATAATTGGCGATTTTATGGGGCACAGTTTACGAAATATGGGGTGTATGGGAAATTTAAAGATTTTGAAACGTTTGAGAAAAATTTTAGGAAACAATCCAGGGGCACATAAAATCACGAGTCAGCTTCATGTGGGGAAATACAACCAGGACAATCGGTAAAAGAGAAAAATTTACGGTGGCAACTACTGGGGTGCAGCAAATAGCAAATGCTTTACTGTGAGTCTGTGACTAATAGAAAATCTGTATTGGAATTCAAGATAGAAAGATTGGATGTTGGGTAGTAATTATTGATGATTACGGGTATGCAACCTGATATAAAGTTGGGAATGGACATTTTACAATATTGGGCAGTAATTAATTTTGAAGAACGTTCTTGAGAATTAGGAAATTTGAGGGATAATTTGATAGAATGGAAGAGGAAAAGTTTAAATGTATTAAAAATAGAGTTAGAGATTATGATGAGCAGGAATTTTTAGAAAAGCTTAAATTAGATTTTCAAAAGATTGAGTGTGTTCAGGAAGTATTTTTAAGACAAAGGCATTAAGAAAAATGAATATAAGGTTTTAATTAACACGATGAAAAATGAAGTATGTTTGCTTTAGGAGGGTACGATTTTGAAAGAACAGGTGGGTAAGGAGTTAGGAGTCAAAAGGAAAAATTATGTAACGATGGGTGAGTGATAATAATAAGAGTAGGTGTTTTAAAAGAAGAAAAAAAAGAAATATTTTATTAGTAAAGTAAACACGTTGAAATTTCAAATAAAAATTGTTTGTAATACCAAAATTTGTTTTTTAAAATATAGAGGGGCAAAATGCCATCATACAACGCATTACTTCATTTTGCGTAATTATTTCATATTTATCAGAAAGACTTATTAGGCAAAGGCTACAGATTGTTCGTCTTTGTGAAATTGAATGTAAGCCATCATTAGATAAAAATACAAAATTATTGCTTTAATTTAAATTAATGACATTATATTTTTTATTGTTTTCGGTTAGATTTAATTTAGGGAAAGATAGGGTGCAATTTTAGGTAATTTATTTTAAAGTTTGTCACTGTGTTTACGAACCCAGTTAATTTAGGGTCTTGTACAATTTGGACATGCCCAATGGTCAAAATAAATGCAATTAAATTTTGGTTGGTAATCTATCTATAGCCTTATTTAGATGAAATTTCATGGACTTTAAATTCCCCATTGCCCTCCAAAATGAGGTGATGTCGGTGGGATGAAGTGCCATTGGGTTCCATGAGTTGTTAAGTTTGTCTAGCAGTTGGGGTGTGTTTGTAAAATTGTGTTTTATCTCATCTTGGAGAATGTTGTTTGTCCCAACAAGTTAATTTCATTATATTATATTATGTATTGTTTTTCCCTATGTCTACTTTGAAGACAAAATCGCTTCTGAAGGGCGCCTAATTTTATGCATGTCAATGTCTGCACTGAAAACCACAGCATGTTTTTTCCATCTCCTCAAATTATCATTTAAATCTTGTCTCATGTCTGGGTCAAATGTTCATCGTGTCATCATGGTTTCATGTGTCCTAACTCCTAGGGTCAAGTATATTGTAATAAACGTATTGTAAAGTTTCTTGGTTTGCTTATTAGAGTTGCAGAAACCTTGCCATTGCCATGGGTTTTGACTTTTGGTCTTGAATGGGATTTGAACTATGTATCTTCCGCCATGATCTTTAACTATAGCAACTATTGACATTTACATTTTTAGTCTCCCAGAATTTTGTGAGATGTTTGTCTTCTTTTATACGATCACTAACTAGTATTATTTTTTGTGGCTGTTGACGTATGTTGCCGAAAAGGGTCGATCAACTTTTGGTTTCTGATGATCCCTTCATTGATTTTGTTAAACCCTGTTCTATCGGGTGCGCAAACTTCTCCAGCTACCAAAATTGCGTCAATTGGGCCTGGTTGTTGAAAGGTGTGGTCTGCAATCATGATGTTTTACGATGACGTCGAAGTGCTGAAATGAAAATTGACTGGAAAATTTGGCAAAAGATTCTTGGTTTTGGACTCCCACTTCCAATTCCAGTGATTTCTGCGGTAATGTTTTCGCGCGGATATCCCAACATCTGGTGAACCTCCTCGGTGATGTGAATTATGATCCAGAAAAGATTAAGACAAGCAAAATTTCCATTCTCGCTTCCATTGAGTTGTTGATAGTTGCGAGTCGAGTTGCAATGTATTCAGGCGTTTTCGGTACCGCGAAATCCTTTTTTTTTTGCAGTTGTGGGAATTGTGTTGATTTGTTTCACAATTTTGTCCTACGACCAGCCAGAGCCGTAGCCAGAATGAATTAGCAGGGGTGGCCGGTATTTTTCTAGGTGGGGCTCAAGAAATTTTTGATAAAGACTTCCCCGGTAATTTTTGTAAAAGTAACGATCAACCATAATTTTCAGTGGGGGCAAGACCACGTTCTAGGTGGAGCCATAGTGGGGCTCAGCTTATTCGCTTCTTCCATTTTTCTTGTTTTTGGACCCCTAACCACTAGGATTTGGATTTGGACAAAAGAATTCTAGAATCTTCTTTTGCAATGTTGATGGGATTCGCATTGCAAATGCTTCTTTCTTGCAAGAAATTCTGCTGTATTCAACAAACGATGAAGTTCGCGAATGAAAAATAAAAATAAAAAATTGTAAATCCGCGGAATTGGATCTGGACTTGTCCAAAAGGATTTAACTTTTATTGAACGATGAAGAAGCGGTGCCATTTCCTTCCGCGTTCTAAAAGTCCGCAACAGCCTTTGGAAACGTAGAGCGAAGTATCCATTTTCGGCTGTGAGATCTACCAGCTTTGAGGACCATCCGGTACATGAACGCATCGTATTGAGCCGTGATATAAATTTGGGGCGTGTCTTTAAGAAAAAGTGTAGTTCCGGACCTATGTATTTCTTTTCTAAGAGTGAAAAATAGAAGGTAAAAGGTAAGGGTTAAGTTTGCAGAGACGTTTTAACCAGTGATATGAAAACCAGCTGCCGAACACATCAGTGGCGTACGTAGAAATTTATTCTGGGGGGGATTGAACAAGTTCGTGGCACATACAGTCACCCAGTGCGTACTAGAAGGGGGAGGGAGGGGGGGGTTAAGAAATAAAAATTGGGTTGCAGGTTGCTGATGCTGGTAGTCATTTATCTATTTATCATTGTACAGGCGAAAAAAATTAGATTAGAACGGTATTTTATTTCTTACTGCTGACAGGCCCCTTTATTGTTTTTGCTTTAATAGTCAACGAAAACTGAATAATAGGTAAGTAGTAAGCAGTAAATATGTATAATTCCTGTTTTTAAAATTTAAAATTATTATTTTCGTCATTTCGTGAAAGGCAGGACGCAGGTACCTTACCTCAGTAGCAGTACTGAGTACCTGATACCTATTTGTTATTTTGGGCATCAATGTAGCGAATTGCCGATCGATGCCGAATAGCCAAATCGTTGACTACCAACACTGATCACTCACTGAATAGTGAATACTGAATACTACAGAATATTTAGATTTTAGTGACTTTAGACTTTAACCAAAACCAAAATTGCTCTCTATATATACAGGGTGTCCCTAAAAGGTCTGTACAACGCGCTACCAGGGGTTCTTGGTATCAAAATAGGACGATTTAACCCAACTTGCTTCTATCCAAAAGTGCCTCGGTAAGGCGCTATCTACCGCCAAAGATTTAAAAAAAAAATCGTTATTTTTATTTTATCGGAAAATGGTTTTGCCGATTAAAATGAAATTCGGGATGTGAATGTCTAATGTAAAAAGGGTCTTTGTGATATCATCGTTTTGATTGTAGTTGCTATGTAGGTGGTAAAATACTGACCATCCACATCTGAAGAGGTCTAAAACTTTTTAACTACTATTTTGACGGTTCTGAATTTTTAGACACTGATAGACAGTTAACTTGCAAGCATTTTTTGTCTCTTAATGAATATCGCTATCTGTGATGGTTTACGAAAAAAAAAAAAAAATTTAGGCATGATGAATGGCATGCACCATACATGCCTAAACTTATAGTTTTGCAAATGATATTTCATTAATTTCAGGCACTGAGCGTAATATTATATCGCTTGATTAGTGTAAAGAAAGGCCAATTTAATTATGGATATAAGTACTTGGTAAGAGTTGAAAAAAGTGCTATATCAAATCAGGGAATTTTTTGAAATGATTGTACCAATGTACAAGAAAAGAGAATTCAAACCAGGATTATGATGTAAGATGTCAAACACTGAAAAACGAATGCATCGTTGAAGTACCTAATTATTGTTACCGTAAACTTTTTTTCCAAGAGTTGATGCAGTCTAATCACTCCAAACGTAGTAAAAATGAATGAATGGGCAATAAATTAATCATGTTACAAACACAATTGAGTATACTCACAAAGCTATTGTTTTTTTAATATAGGAAACAACACAATTGTTAACATATATTGATACTTTCCAGGAAAATTTATTTCGCACGATTTCTATTTGATCCTAACAGTAAAAATATGCATTACACTCACCTTGCAACTAATGACATGGCCACAGGAAACGCTTGCATACTTTTATTTCCGGTTAAGTACTCCTTAAGATCGGAACCTTCCTCAGATTTGCAATATCGACTTCTGCACCCGTAGTAAATTCCAGTAATTGCAGAGACGAGCAGCATACCGGAGAAGACGACATAATCGGCAATATCAAAATAAAACTTTCCCATTTGGATTTTCGTCTAATGAGCGCTGAAAAAATAGTTATATCTTAGTATATGTAGGTAACAATCGATCGATTGGTGAAACACAACTGCTGCATATATTAGCAATGCTTACCTACTTAACACGAGACGTCATCTCGTATTGTGGTGTAATTGTATGACTGAAGTGGGTACCACATGACGCTCAAAATTTGAAAATTAGGTTAACGTTGAAGTTGACATTAAATTCAAATTGTCACAAAATTAGCTATGATGATCGTAAATAATCAATTTTTTTAAATTGAATTGAAAAGAACTCTATCCCAACAAAATAGTAGCTCAATTAGACCGGGAGGCAGCGTACATAGTAACTAAACCATAAGCGACAAAAAATTCGACAATACAGGCTGAAAGTACGTTGAAAACTAATAATAAAATCACTCGTCTGCCAGTCGTAAGTGGCAGCATTAACTTGGGGCGGCGCTGAATAGGTGACTTCTTTAGGTGATCAACTAAATTACCAAACTATAAGGGTCACGGAAAAGATTTGTATCAAGAAATCCCATTTTTTCCATAGTTTTCAAATATGCTATGGCAGACGATTTCAAGTGCAGCGTTGGTAGCGAAAGACGCCCTCCAATGTAGGGAAAAACACCCCTGAACTAAACCATGAGGACCGTATAAAAATTATACATAAAAAATTCCTCTTTTTGTCACTACTTTAAAATATATCCTGGCAGACGATATTAAGTGTAGCTTTAATAGTGGCAGACGTCTTAGAAGTTAAAAAATTTAGGTATAGTAAATCCCAGCGAGTGCGAGCGTGTGAGAGATAAGCGCGCGAGAGAATAACGAACAGAGATAGCTATAGATTTACGCACCGCTTGGAGTTACCAAACGAATTAAATTAGGTAAAATAATAAATTGTTTATTCCGCGATAAGATTGTCGGTATTTCTTGAATTCTTCTCAGACTGAGAAACAGAAAACTTGAAGAGAAAAGAAGATAGATCTTCAGCTCGTTCTAAACTATCCTCTGGCTCCAGTTCCGTTATCTCTATGCAACATTGATGGATCGATGATTAAAATCGACAAGTTTGTTTTGCTGAACCTTTTTCGGAAGTATGATTCTTCAAGTGCTCCTAGTCCATCGACAGTTGTAGATGTTGTTTTAAACGATGGATTATTTTTGTTGCATCTTTTAAAAGGTCTCCGGTAAACCTTTGAGCGATTTTCTAAACACATCCTCGGCAAGATTTGTGCTGTGTCAGCGAGAGCAGTTCATCTTACTTTTGGCTGATAGTTACCCCTTCCATGAAGGACGCAGAACATGATCGTTGGGATCAAAATAAGGAAATATTACAATCCTACTCAATTTCTGTTTCCACACAGAAGCAGCCTGCAAATTTCATAAAACCACTTCGCAATGATAGCTCAAAGCCTCTCTTATAGATTACTTATACCGTTCATAGGCAAAAAAGACCTGTTGCGCTTTACTTGGAAGGAAAGTTGTGTTTGCCACATATAAAGATAAGTGCTATAAATTTGTGACAAGGGAAGATGATGTGGTAAAAACTGAATTGTGCTGCAGCCACTAAGAGGCAGATTCTCGAATAATTTACCATCTTCGTAAACTACCAACAAGTAGCAAAGTCATTATTAGCGCTTCCGATATGGATATTGCTGTTATTGCTTTGGGAAATGTAAAATTGACGCTACCATCAAGGTATAGATGGAAGTAGGTCTCTTTTCCAATAACACGCAGAAATTCACAAATCTTCGAGAGATGTTTGTGAATTTGGGTGTTGATGTGTGTAACGCGCAGGGTAACGCGTTACCGGGTTCCCACGCATTTACCGGATGTATGACTTGTGTATGGTCCTCATGGTTTAGTTCATCGCAATTTGGGCGAATGCCACGGAAAAATGTCTGAGTTTCTACAATCCGTTTGATTGAAGTGGATGGAACTATCTGAATCAGAAGTTTAGAATCAAATGGTTTGAAAGATCTCAGTAGTCAGTATCCTATCGCTATCTCTGTTGGTTATGCTCCCGCGCGCTTATCTCTCACACGCTCGCACTCGCTGGGATTTACTATACCTAAATTTTTTAACTTCTAAGACGTTTGCCACTATTAAAGCTAGACTTAATATCGTCTGCCAGGATATATTTTAAAGCAGTGACAAAAAGAGGAATTTTTTATGTATAATTTTTATACGGTCCTCATGGTTTAGTTCAGGGGTGTTTTTCCCTACATTGGAGGGCGTCTTTCGCTACCAACGCTGCACTTGAAATCGTCTGCCATAACATATTTGAAAACTATGGAAAAAATGGGATTTCTTGATACAAATCTTTTCCGTGACTCTTATAGTTTGGTAATTTAGTTGATCACCTAAAGAAGTCACCTATTCAGCGCCGCCCCAGGTTAATGCTGCCACTTACGACTGGCAGACGAGTGATTTTATTATTAGTTTTAAACATACTTTCATCCTGTATTGTCGAATTTTTTGTCGCTTATGGTTGTACGCTGCCTCCCGGTCTAAATGATGAACATCCAAGGGTACCACTAACACAAAACAGCGGTCCTAACAACTTTTCGACAGTTCCTGAAATTTTAAGATCTCCCTTTCTTAGCATTTAATTACCTAAGTAGGTACGATGACTACGCGTGTGAAGATAATATTGAAAATAACTAAAGCGTATGCCAAACGTAAGCCGTTAGGGTGGCGACACAACAACAACAATATAGACTTTGATTTACGAATCTATTTTTCCATTAAAAGATCGAACAGGTGGGTGATCGTCAATGAAATAATATTACAAAGCGTACAACTTTTAAAGATTTGTTCTTTATGATAGTAAGGAGTCACGGCAGAGAAGTATGAGCTTATAATTCACTGTTAATTATTATGTGTTCCGCCATTGACAGCGGGGCGTCAAAGATAAAAGAAGTTAAGTAATTCAAAGGGAATCTATCTTTTAATGGTAAATTCGTCTTCCGACGGATTGCGTAAATTGAGCAATTTTCCAAGAAAAGGCTGCCTTCCTTTGAGAAATACAGGAGTTTTCCTCTATTGATTTTTCCTTGTTCGACGACCTTTTAGAGATATGCTCGAAAAACAGCCCTTATTTGGGTCGTATGCCCAGGGATTTCACTGTCTTGAGTTACACTAAAAATAAGGTAATCATCATTTTTCCTGTATTTATATATTCAACGCATTACAGTGCCTTTAAGGGTGTTAATAAATTAACCTTTTGCCGTTTAAATAGTACGAAGGATCCCCTAAAGAATCGGAACCTTCATATCATCAAATTGTATTTAGATTTTATGGGCGGAACCCCCTAGAAAGATTTTAAAAAACTGCAGTGAATATTAATTTTAAATGGTGAACACCTTATAGTTGGGTGCGGAATTTTCTAGTTATAATCGTTTAAAAATGGGTTAGATAAGACAAAAGAGTTTCCACTTAGGTAGATAAACGACAGTAGAGTTTAGTTTTTTGTAATTTGATTTAATATACGTCACTATTTTGACATTTTTTGATTTTTAGTGTAAACTGAATCAAGTGGTTAAGCAAAAGCCGACAAGTTGATACGTTTTCTGGAAAAAAGTCAACTTTCCACAATTAAGAGCTAACCGTCGGCATAACAGTTTTAAGGGCAAGTATAATTAGTAACTATCCTAAATCGTTAATGTCAGTTTAAGAAGGATGGATAATCACCGCCATCTTCGACGATTTCGATCCCTGTTTCACCTAAGGTGGATTTTTCCAAATTAAAAAGAAAGTGGTTTTCAAATAACGGTCTGTCATCATTTTGGATGAAAATGAATTTCGCTGGGGTAACTAACTTTTCGCTAAAAAGACTGTTAATGTGGACATGCAGTTTTTCTAAATCGTTTACGATTAGTACTGTAAATTGCTATTTTTAAAACAGCAAATATGGTGAGTATTATTATCATATAAGTAACAAGTTTGTGTTAAAATTAAATATTAGTTTTCTTAGTGTTTATCTTTGATTTAGGTTATTCACTTCAGGGAGATGTTTTTTTCCATATCAAAGTTATCAAACTGTTTTACCTTGATGTCGTAGGTACTTAAAGTTTTTAAAGAGATAAAAACCTCGTACATGCCTAAACAAATGAGATTGTAGGTTTATCCGAATCGACAGACACTAAAGAATTTGAAGAAACATTTGATGGATTGCAAGAATTTGAAGAATCCAAACTTAAAAACTTAAGAAATTTGACGAATTTGAAATTCAAAGCATGTGAAGAGGCGAAAGAAAAAAATATAAAAAAATGAAAAAAACCAAAAAACCTTAACGTTTTGACGAATTTGACAGATTTAAAGAACCTACAGACGAAGAAGGATCATAAAAAAATCGAATAAATGGAAGAATTGGAAAGATCTGATTCTGCATAATCCAATTAGATGAAACTGAAGAACCACACAAATACCTATAGACAATGTGAAGAATTAGAAAAATCAGTAGAACTTCTTAAGGTTTTGAAGAATCCTATGCGAATACGAAGAATTTGAAGGAGCTGAAACAGCCGAAAAATCTGAAGCATTTGAAACTGAAACCCCGAAATAATCCGAAGTAATTAAGTAATTAAAAGTAATTAAGTCATTTGTTAATTCCGAGGCATCGGAAATGGCCGAGGGAACATTACACGAATATCCATGACTTACAAGTTTTTTTTCTTACCAAGTTTTTGGGATTGCCAAAGAAACCTAATTTCTATATTTCAAAATATAGTTAGATACCGTATTAAATCTTTGAAAAGTTAACAACATAGGTATACAATTATATGCGTTTCATGGCGTTTAGTCTTATGAACAATGGCATCAATTTTTGAGTGAGAGTAAATCCCGAATATCAATGATCTTAGACAAGGAAAGAGAGTTTTTCTTTTTCTCTTTCCTAGTCTAAGACAATGATACTAAGTATCCGCGATTATGAGTTATGGATGCAAATAAATTTCGTGTAAAAGTGAAGGTGTCTCTTTTCATGAATTTGCAGTTTAATTAATGAGGGCGAAGTATCATTTTCAAAACTAATACGTTATTCCCATTGATTTTTGCTGCATCAAGATCGTCTTGTTCTTCCAAGTTAATTTTTTGGTGAGACGAGAGCATAATACACTGTGTCTAAGATAAGGATGTATATCATGGGATCTCGGAAACCATAGAAGATACGAAGATGGCCGGATTAGGGTAAGTTACCCCATTACAGAGTTATT